GACTCGATGGCACTTAACAATGGAGTCTGGTGTGGCACTGTGGGTTAATGCGCCAGACTGCAAAGCCATTTGCTGGACTGTCATTTTCTTGTTGAAGTGTTTACATTCTCTAAAAATTTTAGAGATTAGTCCCTTGTCTGATGTCATCACAAACACTTTTCCAGTCTATAGGTGAAGTCTCTTGATGCACAAAAGTGTCTAAGTTTTAGGAGGTCTCAGTTATTTAGTTTGTTTTCTGTTCTCTGTATGGTTTCAGTTATGCTTGATGGTATATTTAGGCCATGTATGAGAGCTCCTAACTTTTCATTGATAATCTTTATAGCTTTAAGTTTAACATTTAGGTCTTTGTTCCATATTGAGTTTGTTTTTGTCATATGGTGTAATAGGGTCTTGTTTCACTCTTCTACAACTGAATATCATTTTGCCAGCACCATTTGTTAAACAGATTATCTCTGCCCCATTTAATGTGTTTCATTTCTTTATAATAGATCATCTGACTGTAGGTAGATAGATTTAGTACTGGGGTTTCAATTATCTTCCATTGATCTATGTGTCTGTGCTATACCAGTACCAGGCTATTTTGACTACTGTGTCAGTGTAGTAGGTTTGATATTGGAATTACGAGGCCTTCTACTTTGTTCTTCTTTAGTAATACTTTATCCAGGGTCTCTTTCCTTTCCATAAAAGTTTGTGATTACCTTTCCAATCTCTTTAAAGAATGATGGCTGGGATCTGGATTGAGGATGCATTATAACTAAACATTGCTTTGGGAGGTATTAGTATTTTCACAATGTTAAGTTTTCATTTCCGTGAACATGGTATATTCGTCCATTTATGTAAGTCTCTTTTGGTTTCTTGTAGTAGTGTTCTGGATCTTTCTTTGTATATGTCTTTTGTTTTTCTGGTTACATTGATTCCTAAGTATTTCACATTTTGGGTGGCTACGCTGTGGGTTAATGCACTGAACTGCAAGGTTGGTTTGAACCGAAAGACTGGCAGTTCAAGCTCACCAGCTGCTCCTCAGAAACCCTTTTTGCAGGGTCGCTATGAGTCAGAACCGACTTGATGGCACTTAACATTAACAACAACAATGCTGGTGTGGTGTTGCACAACAATGCAATAGACCACAAGGTCGGTTTGAACCACAAGATTGGTAGTTTAAACCCACCAGATGCTCCTTGGAAACCCTAAACAGGGTTGCTATGAGTCAGAACTGACTCAATGGCATTTAACAACAATTTTAGACAGTATTGTTTTTCTGATTTCCTTTTCAAAAGAGCTGTCGATACTAGAGTAAAGGAATCCAACTGATTTATGTATGTTGATCTTATATCCCATCACTTTGATGAATATTTCAGTTAATTCCAATAATTTTCTTGCTGACTCTTTGGGATTTTCTATGTATAGGATCATATCATTTGCAAATAAGAGTTTTATTTCTTCTTTGCCAGTTTGGATGCCTCCAATTTTCTTTGGAAACGAAGAGAAAAGATCAGTAGTTGGAAAATATGGCCTTCACGATACAAATGATGCTGGAGATCACATGATAGAATACTGAAAGACTTACTCATTGAGTACAGGGAGGTGTGCGTGAACTCTAAAACTTGCAGCTAGTATTCATATAACCTAGCTTGGATGGCTAGTTGTCCAGAACTTGAACCAAGGAAGATAAAGATGTTTGCCTATGAATGCAGTGACTACAAATTCCAACCATAATGGAAGGATTCTTCATATCAGAAACAACCTGGCTTCCTCAGTGTACTGGGTTGTGCAAGGAATGAGAAATTTAGACAAAAAAGGTGGGGGTGGGGTATCTATAAAGGCATGAAGTGGCTGGCTTACAAGCTTTCATGAGTGTGCTTAGTTTCAAAATGAGGGAGGTAAGGTAAAATCTCCACTGAATAGTTTCTAGTTTCTCCCTTTTCCAGATGGATCTAGGGGATGGGGGGCAACCGTGATACGATTTTATAATTCAATTGTGAATAACTGTTGACAGGATTAATTGTAATTGTCACAGCTCTAATTATAGAAGATATGTAACTAAAAGGGGGGGGGAGTAGCTGATCTTTTATTTCAGGAATAGACAATTTCAGGACCATTAAGAAGAAAGGGTATGACTGGAGCTTCAGATCCCTATCTAGAAAAGTGGTGGCAGCAGAGATGGTGGCAGAGGCAGTGACAAGGAGAGACAGAGAAGTTGTGGGCTCTTGGCCCATGGGCTGAGATAGGCTGTGTGCCTGTGGGCAGGAAGCTAACTGGCAGAATGTACCCTTTGGACATTTAAATAAATACATATTGTGAAGAACAGGTATTCCAGAACACTTAATTGTGCTCATGAGGAACCTATACCCAGACCAAGAGGCAGTTGTTTGCACAGAACAAGGTGATAATGAATGGTTTGAAATAAGGAAAGGGGTATGCCAGAGTTGTATCCTTTCACCATATGTCTGTTTGCTGAGCATGTAATCTGTATGCCGAGCATGCAATCTGAGATGATGGATTACATGAAGAAGAATGAGGCATCAAGATTAGAGGAAGACTCATTAACAACCTGTGAAATGTAGATGATACAACCTTGCTTGCTGGAAGTGAGGAGGATTTACTGATGAAGATGAAAAACTGCAGCCATCAGTATAAATTGCACCACAATGTAAAGTAAACAAAAGTCCTCACACTTGGCCTAACAAATAACATCATGACAGAGAAAATTTTGAAGTTGTCAAAGACTTAAATTTGCTTGGATCCACAATCAACACTCATGGAAGCAGCAGTCAAGACATCAAACAATGTATTGCATTAGGCAAATCAGCACAAGACCTCTTTTAAAGTGTTTAGGGTAAAATACCAGTTTGAGGACTAAGGTGTACCTGACTCAAGCTATGGTATTTTCACTTCCCTCATATGCATGTGAAAGTTGGACAGTGAATAAGGAAGGCAGTAGAAGAACTGATGCATTTGTTTATATTATGGTGTTGAAGAAGAATATAAAAGGTACCATGGAGTACCAGAAGAACAAACAAATCTGTGTTGGAAAAAATACAACCAGAATGATCCTTTTAAGTCATGAAGACAAGACTTTGTCTCTCATACTTTGGACATGTTATCAGGAAGGACCAGTCCCTGGAGAAGGACATCATGCTTGGTATGAGGGTCAGTGAATACGAGGAGGACCCCTAACGAGATGGACTAGCAAAAGGCCCAAGCATGCTAACAATTTTAAGGATAGCAAGGATCGGGCAATGTTTCATTCTGTAGGGTCACTATGAGTCCAAACTGATGCTATGGCACCTAACAACAACAATAGCTTTTTTTGCCTTATATCTCTGGCTAAGACTTCCAGAAGGAGTCCTATAGTAGCATAGTGGGTTATGAGTTGAGCTGCTAACTGAACGATCAGCAGTTTGAATCTACTATTTGTATATGGAAGGAGCTCTGGTAACGTAGTGGTTACAAGTTGGGCTGCTAACCTCAAGGTCAGCAGTTTGGAACTACTAGCTATTCCTCTGGAGAAAGATGAGGCTTTCTGCTTCCGTAAAGATTTACAATCTTGGAAACCCCATACAGGGTCGTTATGAGTTGGAACCAACTCCACCACGCATAACCACTACCATCACCACCATTTCTCTGCAGGAAAAAGATGAGATTTTCTGCTCAAGTAAATTTTTACAACCTCAGAAACCCTGTACATGGTCACTATAAGTTGGTATTGACTCCACGGCACACCTCTAAGGTGGTGTGGTGGCACCACCTTTCTGTACTATAATGAA